CCTTTTAGAAGTGAAGTTATTGTCATTTGTTGTGGAAAGGTCATTTCGAGCCTGAGACCTGAAAAACAGGCTTGGGGCTTAACAGGTTGGGATAATATGGGGGGAGGGGGGGGGGGGGGGGCGTGGGGGCAGTACACATTATAGTTACTGGCCGTTTCTCAATGTCTAGTAAACCTGCTGCAGAGCCACTACTTCAAGTGGCTCTGCAGCAGGTATACTCGACATTGAGAAACTACCACTGTGAGACTGCTAAACAGAGGGGGGGGGGGTAAAGGGAGTAAAGGGGGGAGTCAGTTCAGTCTCACAGTCTCAGATCTCTGGACTCCGTCAGACGGTGAGTAACGTCTCTGTTATACTCTGTGTACTTATACTCACTGTTATATACACTCTGCGTACTTATATTTACTGTTATATACACTCTGTGTACTTATACTCACTGTTATATACACTATGGGTGTTTCTCAATGTTGAGTATGCTTGCTTGGTAGCACATGTCTTCCGAGCGTCTTGCTGCAGAGGCTAGGCAAGAATCCTTCCTGGCATTCGGAAAACAGAGTGGAACAGGCGAGCAATTGTGCAGGTGTGCGTCATATGAGAGGCCCCGCCTTACATTTTCCCCCACAGATTTGGGGAAATTGGTCCGGTCGCAAAGCATTGTGGGGATTTTAAGACCGCGGAGTCTACACATGCATGTGCAGCCTCGAAATGTCTCCATACGAAGTACGCCGGGCTCGGTAGAATTCCAAGTATGCTGGTGTGACGACCCCTGCTTTACTGTCCCCCGTGGTGTGGGTATGGCCCTTTAATGTTCTCCCTCTGTTTGTGTCAGATTTCTGGTTGTATGTGATTGGTAAAAGCTGGACTTCAACTATTGTGACGTTAATATATTGACTTTCATACTGTCTTGTTCAATCTTTCTCACTCTGCCCATCTTTAAAGTGTGCTTCTCAGGTACCTGGGTTGCTAAAGATGTGGCTGGTTGTTGAAGACGGGGATTGCTGTATGAAGGTGGTATATCACAATTATGGTTCTTTAAGATAGGGTGCCATAGATATATTTTTTGTTTTCTATTACTGTTTTTTTGTGTGTTTTTGTTTGGGATGGGGTTGCTTTGTTATGCCGGTGGTCCTAGGGACACCGACTTTAAGGGGGGGAGGTGTGACAACCCCTGCTTTACTGTCTCCTGTGGTGTGGGTATGGCCCTTTAATGTTCTCCCTCTGTGTCAGGACTGATTGAGGACACCTGGCTGCTGGCACCGGAGGATTTAAAGGCCTGAGCCAGAGTTTCGGTCTCTCTCTCTCCGCAGAGGACCTGTTCTGGGAGCGACCACTCTCGTTTATATTTTTGCCTTGTCTTTATGTTAGTTTTGGTTCCAGTTGAATTCTGGTTAATACATATATTTTCTTATATTTGTTCTTGTTCTTTCCACACTTGTTGTTATGCCCAAGAGCCAGGCCATGACACTGAAAATTGGAACAGTATTTCGGCGGCACTCAATGACGTAGTATGCTTGAAATAGTGGCTCTGGAGCAGCTTTACTCGAGATTGAGAAACACCCAGCGTGTACTTATACTTACTGAGAAATATATCAATACAAATAGAGTTATTCCTCTCGTGTCTCACCTGCTAACTCCTCCTAACAGCGGTTAGCCTGCTCACGGTGACACGCTTCTTCTTCGGTGGTTTGAGGTGTGTCCGCCCCCTGCTGTTCAGGAACCTCCTTCGTGTCTTTGACTACCTGATTTGCACTGCGCACGCGCAAGTTGGTCCGCCCTAAACTTAGAAACGATATCTTTAAAAAGTGTGTTGCTTTGTGATCACATCTGTAAGATAATGAAGTCAGTGAGAAGAGTCTCAGTGATCTGGCCCTAAAGCTGGGAGAGACCTTCCAGCTTGAGCAATGATTATAAGCAGGGTGCAGTCTCCATGTTCTCCATTTGAATCCCATATCTTGCCTTTCTACAAATATATCAGGGACTATGGTGTTAACAAATCCAAGAAACATTTGTAATGTATATAATGAGTGTGCCAACTAATAACTTTAATATGGGGTGGACCTCCCCTCCTCTGGGGGACGGGGACAGGGCGCATGCTCCCCAGGGAAGATCTTTTTAAATATTGAAGTTAAAAGCATCAACCTGGTGCACTTTGAGCACATTCAGGGATCTACTGTATTTCGATAATCAAAAAATCATTACAATATGATCACATCCAATAACAAATAGTTCAAACTTTTATTTGATAAAGTCCTAGTCTGCTTTATTTATTTGTATGTATGCATGTTTCACTAATCACTTTTTTTTTTTTTTTACTGTCCTATAGTACACATTGGAATGATTTCTTAACTTGTGTTTTACAAATATAATAAATAGATAAAGGTTTGCCTTGGAAATATGTGTTTATTGAGCTGTAGTTATCAGAGCCTCTCAGTCTGAGCTGTAGTTATCTCTCTCAGTCTGAGCTGTAGTTATCTCTCTCAGTCTGAGCTGTAGTAGTTATCAGAGCCTCTCAGTAGGAGCTGTAGTTATCAGAGCATCTCAGTCTGAGCTGTAGTTATCTCTCTCAGTCTGAGCTGTAGTTATCTCTCTCAGTCTGAGCTGTAGTAGTTATCAGAGCCTCTCAGTCTGAGCTGTAGTTATCCCTCTCAATCTGAGCTGTAGTTATCAGAGCCTCTCAGTCGGAGCTGTAGTTATCCCTCTCAATCTGAGCTGTAGTTATCAGAGCCTCTCAGTCTGAGCTGTAGTTATCAGAGCATCTCAGTCTGAGCTGTAGTTATCAGAGCCTCTCAGTCTGAGCTGTAGTTATCAGAGTCTCTCAGTCTGAGCTGTAGTTATCTCTCTCAGTCTGAGCTGTAGTTATCTCTCTCAGTCTGAGCTGTAGTAGTTATCAGAGCCTCTCAGTCTGAGCCGTAGTTATCAGAGCATCTCAGTCTGAGCTGTATTTATCAGAGCCTCTCAGTCTGAGCTGTAGTTATCAGAGTCTCTCAGTCTGAGCTGTAGTTATCAGAGTCTCTCAGTCTGAGATGTAGTTATCAGAGTCTCTCAGTCTGAGCTATAGTTATCTCTCTCAGTCTGAGCTAGTTATCTCTCTCAGTCTGAACTGTAGTTATCTCTCTCAGTCTGAGCTGTAGTTATCTCTCTCAGTCTGAGCTGTAGTTATCAGAGCCTCTCAGTCTGAGCTGTAGTTATCAGAGTCTCTCAGTCTGAGCTCTAGTTATCAGAGTCTCTCAGTCTGAGCTCTAGTTATCTCTCTCAGTCTGAGCTGTAGTTATCCCTCTCAATCTGAGCTGTAGTTATTAGAGCCTCTCAGTCTGAGCTGTAGTTATCAGAGTCTCTCAGTCTGAGCTGTAGTTATCAGAGTCTCTCAGTCTGAGCTGTAGTTATCTCTCTCAGTCTGAGCTGTAGTTATCATAGCCTCTCAGTCTGAGCTGTAGTTATCCCTCTCAATCTGAGCTGTAGTTATCATAGCCTCTCAGTCTGAGCTGTAGTTATCAGAGCCTCTCAGTCTGAGCTGTAGTTATCAGAGCCTCTCAGTCGGAGCTGTAGTTATCCCTCTCAATCTGAGCTGTAGTTATCAGAGCCTCTCAGTCAGAGCTGTAGTTATCCCTCTCAATCTGAGCTGTAGTTATCAGAGCCTCTCAGTCTGAGCTGTAGTTATCAGAGCCTCTCAGTCTGAGCTGTAGTTATCAGAGCCTCTCAGTCTGAGCTGTAGTTATCAGAGTCTCTCAGTCTGAGCTGTAGTTATCAGAGTCTCTCAGTCTGAGCTGTAGTTATCAGAGTCTCTCAGTCTGAGCTGTAGTTATCTCTCTCAGTCTCCGAGTCTCTCAGTTGAGCTATAGTCTCTCCTCAGTCCTGAGCTGTAGTGAGTATCTCTCTCAGTCTGAACTGTAGTATCTCTCTCAGTCTGAGCTGTAGTTATCTCTCTCAGTCTGAGCTGTGTATAGTTATAAAAGCCTCTCAGTCTGAGCTGTAGTTATACAGAGCCTCTTCCTGTCTGAGGCTCTAGTTTATCAGAGTCTCTGCAGTCTGAGCTATAGTTATCAGAGCCTCTCAGTATGAGCTGTAGTTATCTCTCTCAGTCTGAGCTGTAGTTATCAGAGCCTCTCAGTCTGAGCTGTAGTTATCTCTCAGTCTGAGCTGTAGTTATCAGAGCCTCTCAGTCTGAGCTGTAGTTATCTCTCAGTCTGAGCTGTAGTTATTTCATAAGAGGTGTAAAACCTGAGAGCATTTTAAATCGCATTTGAACTAAATGCTTGTATAATCTGTAGTTGCATTTGTATTATTGATTTAATGTGTGAACGAGACGATATAGAGAAGGTTAAGCTGTCATTATTAGGCTGTAATTAGTTATATACTGTTGGAATGGTAAGCAGGCCTATTGTTTTTGGATATTTGTGGAGTCAGGTGGTCCGTTTGAGTGTCCTTGGTATGAAAAGGTTTGAGAAACACTGCGCTAGTGGATTGTCAAAGGGGGATTCCCCCTTGCGGGAAATTATACAGATGGTTAGTCCGCCCCTGCAAAATGTCTATGCACACGTTATTATTAATAATTAAAAAATAATTGATAAAAAAATGTATAAATGTTTTTTAGTTTTTATTTTGTAATAATCTCACACTGAGTACACAGTACAATTAATACACTGAGTATATATACAAGTGTACTCAGTGGATTCAGTGTCCTTGTTGTATGTGTACTCAGTGTACTGTGTACTCAGTGTACTTACTGAGGGTAAAGTATGTCTCGCTGCAGTAATCCTTTAAGAAGTCTCGACAGACTGAAAATACTTCACTGACCTGCAACTCACTGCTAATATACAGTATTATATACAGTATTATATACCGTGCTATATACAGTATTATATACAGTGCTATATACAGTATTATATACATGATGTCTAATGTAATATAGAGAGTGTTATACACATTATATACAGTATACACAGTATTATATACAGTATTAGTACATTATGAGTATTCTCTCTTGTCCCCCTGCAGGTTCAGGAGGGAACTGACACTGAGATCCAGAAACTCCACATATTATTTATATTTATATTTGTCATCAGTATATAAAGTATTATTTGAAGACGTAGAGAGGAAGAGGAGGATGGGATTTGCTGAGCTGCTGGAGGAGGTGAGACAGTTTCTCTAACCCAGGGGGTGAGACAGGAGGTGAGCCAGTTTCTCTAACCCAGGGGGTGAGACAGGAGGTGAGACAGTTTCTCTAACCCAGGGGGTGAGACAGGAGGTGAGCCAGTTTCTCTAACCCAGGGGGTGAGACAGGAGGTGAGCTAGTTTCTCTAACCCAGGGGGTGAGATAGGAGGTGAGACAGTTTCTCTAACCCAGGGGGTGAGACAGGAGGTGAGACAGTTTCTCTAACCCAGGGGGTGAGACAGGAGGTGAGACAGGTTCTCTAACCCAGGGGGTGAGACAGGAGGTGAGACAGGAGGTGAGACAGTTTATCTAACCCAGGGGGTGAGACAGGAGGTGAGACAGTGTATCTAACCCAGGGGGTGAGACAGGAGGTGAGACAGTTTCTCTAACCAAGGGGGTGAGACAGGAGGTGAGACAGTTTCTCTAACCCAGGGGGTGAGACAGGAGGTGAGAAAGTTTCAATAACCCAGGGGGTGAGACAGTTTCTCTAACCCAGGGGGTGAGACGGAAGGTGAGAACGTTTCTCTAACCCAGGGGGTGAGACAGAAGGTGAGAAAGTTTCTCTAACCCAGGGGGTGAGACAGGAGGTGAGAAAGTTTATATAACCCAGGGGGTGAGACAGGAGGTGAGAACGTTTCTCTAACCCAGGGGGTGAGACAGGAGGTGAGACAGTTTCTCTAACCCAGGGGGTGAGACAGGAGGTGAGAACGTTTCTATAACTCAGGGGGTAAGACCGTTTCTCTTACCCAGGGGGTGAGACAGAAGGTGAGAACGTTTCTATAACCCAGGGGGTGAGACAGGAGGTGATACAGTTTCTCTAACCCAGGAGGTGAGACAGTTTCTCTAACCCAGGGGGTGAGACAGTTTATCTAACCCAGGAGGTGAGACAGTTCCTCTAACCCAGGGAGTGAGACAGGAGGTGAGACAGTTTCTCTAACCCAGGAGGTGAGACAGGAGGTGAGACAGTTTCTCTAACCCAGGGAGTGAGACAGGAGGTGAGACAGTTTATCTAACCCAGGGAGTGAGACAGGAGGTGAGACAATTTATCTAACCCAGGGGGTGAGACAGGAGGTGAGACAGTTTCTCTAACCCAGGGGGTGAGACAGAAGGTGAGCCAGTTTCTCTAACCCAGGGGGTGAGACAGAAGGTGAGAAAGTTTATATAACCCAGGGGGTGAGACAGTTCCTCTAACCCAGGGGGTGAGACAGGAGGTGAGAACGTTTATATAACCCAGAAGGTGAGAAAGTTTCTCTAACCCAGGGGGTGAGACAGGAGGTGAGAACGTTTCTCTAACCCAGGGGGTGAGACAGGAGGTGAGCAAGTTTCTATAACTCAGGGGGTAAGACCGTTTCTCTAACCCAGGGGGTGAGACAGAAGCTGAGAACGTTTCTATAACCCAGGGGGTGAGACAGGAGGTGAGACAGTTTCTCTAACCCAGGAGGTGAGACAGGAGGTGAGAAAGTTTATATAACCCAGGAGGTGAGACAGTTTATCTAACCCAGGAGGTGAGACAGGAGGTGAGAAAGTTTATATAACCCAGGAGGTGAGACAGTTTCTCTAACCCAGGGGGTGAGACAGTTTCTCTAACCCAGGAGGTAAGACAGGAGGTGAGAAAGTGTCTCTAACCCAGGGGGTGAGACAGTTTCTCTAACCCAGGAGGTGAGACAGGAGGTGAGAAAGTGTCTCTAACCCAGGGGGTGAGACAGTTTCTCTAACCCAGGAGGTGAGACAGGAGGTGAGACAGTTTCTCTAACCCAGGGGGTGAGACAGTTTATCTAACCCAGGAGGTGAGACAGGAGGTGAGAAAGTTTCTCTAACCCAGGGGGTGAGACAGAAGGTGAGAACGTTTCTATAACCCAGGGGGTGAGACAGGAGGTGAGACAGTTTCTCTAACCCAGGAGGTGAGACAGGAGGTGAGAAAGTTTATATAACCCAGGAGGTGAGACAGGAGGTGAGAACGTTTATATAACCCAGGAGGTGAGACAGTTTCTCTAACCCAGGGGGTGAGACAGTTTCTCTAACCCAGGAGGTGAGACAGGAGGTGAGCCAGTTTCTCTAACCCAGGGGGTGAGACAGGAGGTGAGAAAGTTTATATAACCCAGGAGGTGAGACAGGAGGTGAGACAGTTTCTATAACCCAGGAGGTGAGACAGGAGGTGGGACAGTTTCACCACCTGCCTCACCCCCTGTCTCACCCCCTGTCTCACCACCTGTCTCACCCATCTCTCACAACCTGTCTCCCCCTGTCTCACCCGTCCCTCACCACCTGTCTCACCCCCTGCCTCACCCCCTGTCTCACCACCTGCCTCACCATCTGTCTCACCCATCTCTCACCACCTGTCTCCCCCTGTCTCATCACCTGTCTCACCACATGGCTCCCCCTGTCTCACCACCTGTCTCCCCCTCTCTCATCACCTGTCTCACCACCTGTCTCACCCTCAGGCTGGGGGCTTTGGCAGATATCAATGGCTCCATGTGACTCTCATCAGTTTACCTGGTCTGATGATGGCCAGTCAGAACCTGCTGAACAACTTTGTCTCAGGAAGTCCCGCCCACCACTGCAGCCTACCGACCAATCACAGCAGCCGATACAACCTATCCCACTACCAGGTGACCCGTCTGTCTGTCTGTCTGTCTCTCTGTGTCCGTCCCTCTGTCTGTCTGTATGTCTGTCTTTCTGTCTGTATGTCTGTCTCTCTGTCTCTCTGTATGTATGTCTGTCTGTCTGTCTGTCTGTCTGTCCTTCTGTCTGTCTGTCTTTATGTCCATATGTCTGTCTGTCTGTCTGTCTGTCTGTCTGTCTGTCTGTCTGTCTGTCTGTCTGTCTGTCTGTCTGTCTGTCTGTATGTCTGTCTGTCTTTCTGTCTTTCTGTCTGTCTGTCTTTCTGTCCGTCTATATGTCTGTCTGTCTTTCTTTCTGTATGTCTCTCTGTCTGTCTGTCTGTCTGTCTGTCTGTCTGTCTGTCTGTCTGTCTGTCTTTCTGTCTGTATGTCTGTCTCTCTGTCTCTCTGTATGTATGTCTGTCTGTCTGTCTGTCCTTCTGTCTCTCTGTCTGTATGTCCGTATGTATGTCTGTCTGTCTGTATGTCTGTCTGTCTTTCTGTCTTTCTGTCTGTCTGTCTTTCTGTCCGTCTATATGTCTGTCTGTCTTTCTTTCTGTATGTCTCTCTGTCTTTCTGTCTGTCTGTCTGTCTGTCTGTCTGTCTGTCTGTCTGTCTGTCTGTCTGTCTGTCTATCTTTCTGTCTGTCCGTCTGTCCGTCTGTCTGTCTGTCTGTCTGTCTGTCTGTCTGTCTATCTTTCTATATGTCTGTCTGTCTTTCTGTCTGTCTATCTGTCTGTCTGTCTGTCTTTCTTTCTGTCTGTCTCTCTGTCTCTCTGTCTGTCTATCTGTGTGTCTGTCTGTCTGTCTTTCTGTCTGTCCGTCTGTCTATCTATCTGTCTGTCTGTCTGTCTGTCTGTCTGTCTGTCTGTCTGTCTGTCTTTCTGTCTGTCTGTCTGTATGTCTCTCTTTCTGTCTGTCTGTCTTTCTGTCTTTCTGTCTGTCTTTCTGTCTTTCTGTCCGTCTATATGTCTGTCTGTCTGTCTTTCTGTCTGTCTGTCTTTCTGTATTTCTGTCTGTCTGTCCGTCTATATGTCTGTCTGTCTTTCTTTCTGTATGTCTCTCTGTCTTTCTGTCTGTCTGTCTATCTGTCTGTCTGTCTGTCTGTCTGTCTTTCTGTCTGTCCGTCTGTCCTTCTGTCTTTCTGTCTGTCTGTCTTTCTTTCTGTATGTCTCTCTGTCTCTCTGTCTGTATGTCTTTCTGTCTGTCCGTCTGTCTTTCTGTCTGTCTGGGGAGGCGTGTGGTGCATTGGGTTGTGAGTTGGTATTCGGATCAGGAGGTCACAGGTTCAAACCCCACTGCAGTCAGCATGTCGTTGTGTCCCTGGGCAAGACACTTCACCCCAAATTGCTCCTGTGGGGATTGCCCACAGTATTGAGTATGTAAGTCGCTTTGGATAGAAGCGTCTAACAAGTGACATGTAATGTAATGTCTCTCTATCTTTCTGTCCGTCTGTCCGTCTGTCTCTCTGAACCGGTGATAGTTAGATGAATGTGATTGGTAGCTGTCAATGAATGGATGGCTGTGATTTGTCGCAGTCACTGAATGAATGGATGTGATTGGCCGCTGACACTGAATGGATGGATGTGATTGGCTGCTGTCACTGAATGGATGGATGTGATTGGTTGTTGCAGGTAGATGAGGAGCAGCTTCTGAGGGCCTTCATCCCGATGGACTCTTCGGGAAGTAGACTGGACCGCTGCAGGAGGTTTTATTATCAATATCTTCATTAATATATTACTAGTGTTGATTGGTTAACCTCCCTGTGACAGTACTTCCTGTTTGTGTTGTTCAGGTTTGTGGAGCCTCAGTGGCAGCTGTTAGCGGCTAACAGTTCAGCTAACGTTAGCCAGATCCCAACCGAGGGATGTTTGGACGGATGGACCTACGACCGCTCAGAGTTTCTCTCCACCACTGTGTCCGAGGTCAGAGGTCACCATATCCATCTGGCTAACGCTAACCACGCTAACGCTAACCAAGCTAACGCTAACCACGCTAATGCTAACCACACTAACGCTAAGCATTATTTACATTACATATCATTTAGCTGACACTTTTATCCGGTGAGACTTACAGTCGGTGCAGAACCACAAAGAATCAAACTCTGACAACAGGAGCAGACACAGTGCATCCAGGAAGTATTCATACCCCTTCACTTTTTACACATTTGACATGTTACAGCCTCATTTCAAAATGGATTAAATTAATTTGTTTTCTCAACATTCTACACACAATACCCCATAATGTCAAAGTGAAAAAAGTTTTTAAAGAAAGGTTGCAAATCTATTAAAAATAAATACTCAAATATTGAATGTGCTTAAGTATTCACACCCTTTACTCAGTACTTTGTTGAAGCACCTTTGGCAGCAATTACAGCCTCAAGTCTTCTTGAGTATGATGAGCACACCTTTCTCTGGGCAGTTTCTTCTCTGCAGATCGTCTCAAGCTCCATCAGGTTGGACGGGGAGCGTCTTTGCACTCAAGGACATTCACATACTTAACCTGAAGCCACTCCTCTGTTATCTTGGCTGTGTGCTTAGGGTCGTTGTCCTGTTGAAAGGTGGACCTTCGCCCCAGTCTGAGGTCCAGTGCGGAGCAGGTTTTCATCAAGGATCTCTCTGTACATTGCTGCATTCATCTTTCCCTTGATCCTGACTGGTCTCCCAGTTCCTGCTGCTGAAGAACCTCCCACAGCATGATGCTGCCACCACCATGCTTCACTGGACGGATGGTGTTGGCCAAGTGATGAGCGGTGCCTTGCTCCATGGAGGCTTTCATGTGCCTTTTGCTGAAGAGTGGCTTCCTTCTGGCCACCCTACCATAAAGGCCTGATTGGTGGAGTGCTTCAGCGATAGTTGTCCTTCTAGAAGGTTCTCCAATCTCCACAGAGGAACACTGGAGCTCTGTCAGATTGATCATCAGGTTCTTGGTCACCTCTCTGACTAAGGCCCTTCTCCCCCGATGTTCAGTTTGGTTTGGGCGGCCAGCTCTAGAAAGAGCCGTGGTGGTTTCAAACATCTTCCATTTGCAAATGATGGAGACCACTGTGCTCGTTGGGACCTTCAATGCTGCAGACATTTGTATGTTCCCTTCCCCAGATCTGTGCCTTGATACAATCGTGTCTCTGAGGTCTACAGACAATTCCTTGGACCTCATGACTTGGTTTGTGCTCTGATATGCACTGTCAACTGTGGGACCTCATATAGGTGTGTTCCATTCCAAGTCATGTCCAATGTATTGCATTTACTACAGGTGGACTCCAGTCAGGTTGTGGAAACATCTGGAGGATGATCAGTGGAAACGGGATGCACTTGAGCTCAATTTTCAGTGTCATAAGAAAAGGTGTGAGTACTTATGTACATGTGATATTTCATTTGATTATTTTCAAGACATTTGCAAAAAAATCTTTAAAAACATTTTTCACTTTGTCATTATGGATTATTGTTTTTGGAATGTTGAGTAAAACAAATAATGTTATCCATTTTGAATCAGCTGGTCTGAGACCAGAGCTCCAGATAGAGAACCTGAGGGGAAGGGTTAGGGTTACCTAACAGCTAGCAGCTAACAGCTAACAGCCAACAGCTAGCAGCTAGCAGCTAACAGCTAACAATTGTCAGGGTTGCCAACTCTCACGCATCTGGTGTGTGACACATGCTTTCACTCTCAATCTCACGCTCTCACACTGCCCAATCTATTGTCACGCCAAAAACAAGATGAACCGGCGATCGTTTTTGGTTGGTTATTTACAATGTTGAGTTGACAGCTGCTCAAGCTGTCGATCCGCTCCCTCCCCGCCCCCACCACTCTTAACAGCGTTAACAGACAGCAGAGCAGTGGGAGCCGGTTGGTCATCCCCGACCCGTATTGCGCAGATCTCATATCTAGTAGAAATGATAAAAAGTAAAAGTCTGCTGCTTATTGTTCTACTAGGCCAAAATAGAGTCAAAGAGTATATGAGAGTGAGAGTGTGTTAATTAATATATTTGGCAATTTGGAGTAAGTCTGTAGATTTGTTTGTGTGTGTATAGGCCTCTCACAATCATTAATTTTGTTGGATACATTTTCCCGGAAATTATTACGATAAACGATAATATTGTCGGAACCATTGTATGACCATTTTAGACCACTGACAAGTACATCCTTTCAAACTGCTAGTCACATCCTCATGTAAATGGCAAATTATCGAGGTCAGAAAAGTTATCGAGTTAATTTTTGTTGATCGTACGATAAGTCAATTAATTGCTTATCGCGACAGGCTTATGCTCACAATAAAACAGTGGAAACAAACATGTGTTTGACTTTCATTAGTGAATGAAACTTTGTGCCCTTTATAGTCTGTGTCCAATATTGTGTATTTGCATATATTGTATATATATCCTATATATATGCTAAGGTCCCACTACTGACACGATAGCAGTCATTCAGTGCGCATATGTGTAATTAAACCCATCATATCAAAATCTCACTCCAGCCAGGTACCCAAAGTTGACAACCCTGCAATTATCTCTCACCTGTCTGTCTCTGACCTGTCTGTCTCTGACCTGTCTGTCTCTGACCTGTCTGTCTCTGACCTGTCTGTCTCTGACCTGTCTGTCTCTGACCTGTCTGTCTCTGACCTGTCTGTCTCTGACCTGTCTGTCTCTGACCTGTCTATCTCTTAACTGTCTGTCTCTCACCTGTCTGTCTCTGACCTGTCTGTCTCTGACCTGTCTATCTCTCACCTGTCTGTCTCTGACCTGTCTGTCTCTGACCTGTCTGTCTCTCACCTGTCTGTCTCTGACCTGTCTGTCTCTGACCTGTCTATCTCTCACCTGTCTGTCTCTGACCTGTCTGTCTCTCACCTGTCTGTCTCTGACCTGTCTGTCTCTGACCTGTCTATCTCTCACCTGTCTGTCTCTGACCTGTCTGTCTCTCACCTGTCTGTCTCTGACCTGTCTGTCTCTGACCTGTCTATCTCTTAACTGTCTATCTCTCACCTGTCTGTCTCTGACCTGTCTGTCTCTGACCTGTCTATCTCTCACCTGTCTGTCTCTGACCTGTCTATCTCTCACCTGTCTATCTCTCTCCTGTCTATCTCTCACCTGTCTATCTCTCACCTGTCTGTCTCTCTCCTGTCTATCTCTGACCTGTCTGTCTCTGACCTGTCTATCTCTCACCTGTCTATCTCTCACCTGTCTATCTCTCACCTGTCTATCTCTCACCTGTCTGTCTCTCTCCTGTCTATCTCTGACCTGTCTATCTCTCAACTGTCTATCTCTCTCCTGTCTATCTATCACCTGTCTGTCTCTCTCCTGTCTATCTTTCACCTGTCTATCTCTCACCTGTCTGTCTCTCTCCTGTCTATCTCTCACCTGTCTATCTATCACCTGTCTGTCTCTCTCCTGTCTATCTCTGACCTGTCTGTCTCTGACCTGTCTATCTCTCAACTGTCTATCTCTCTCCTGTCTATCTCTGACCTGTCTGTCTCTGACCTGTCTATCTCTCAACTGTCTATCTCTCACCTGTCTGTCTCTCTCCTGTCTGTCTCTGACCTGTCTGTCTCTGACCTGTCTATCTCTCACCTGTCTGTCTCTCTCCTGTCTATCTCTGACCTGTCTGTCTCTCTCCTGTCTGTCTCTGACCTGTCTATCTCTCACCTGTCTGTCTCTCTCCTGTCTATCTCTCTCCTGTCTATCTCTCACCTGTCTGTCTCTGACCTGTCTATCTCTCACCTGTCTGTCTCTCTCCTGTCTATCTCTGACCTGTCTGTCTCTCTCCTGTCTGTCTCTGACCTGTCTATCTCTGACCTGTCTGTCTCTCTCCTGTCTGTCTCTGACCTGTCTATCTCTCACCTGTCTGTCTCTCACCTGTCTGTCTCTGACCTGTCTGTCTCTGACCTGTCTATCTCTCACCTGTCTATCTCTCACCTGTCTGTCTCTCTCCTGTCTATCTCTCACCTGTCTGTCTCTCTCCTGTCTGTCTCTGACCTGTCTGTCTCTGACCTGTCTGTCTCTCTCCTGTCTGTCTCTGACCTGTCTATCTCTCACCTGTCTATCTCTCTCCTGTCTATCTCTCTCCTGGCTATCTCTCTCCTGTCTATCTCTGACCTGTCTGTCTCTCTCCTGTCTGTCTCTGACCTGTCTATCTCTCACCTGTCTGTCTCTGACCTGTCTGTCTCTGACCTGTCTATCTCTCTCCTGTCTATCTCTCTCCTGTCTGTCTCTCTCCTGTCTATCTCTGACCTGTCTGTCTCTGACCTGTCTATCTCTCACCTGTCTATCTCTCACCTGTCTGTCTCTCACCTGTCTATATCTGACCTGTCTGTCTCTGACCTGTCTGTCTCTGACCTGTCTATCTCTCTCCTGTCTATCTCTCTCCTGTCTGTCTCTCTCCTGTCTATCTCTGACCTGTCTGTCTCTGACCTGTCTATCTCTCTCCTGTCTATCTCTCACCTGTCTATCTCTCACCTGTCTGTCTCTCACCTGTCTATCTCTGACCTGTCTATCTCTCACCTGTCTATCTCTGACCTGTCTATCTCTCACCTGTCTATCTCTCACCTGTCTGTCTCTGACCTGTCTATCTCTCTCCTGTCTATCTCTGACCTGTCTGTCTCTGACCTGTCTATCTCTCTCCTGTCTATCTCTCTCCTGTCTGTCTCTCTCCTGTCTATCTCTGACCTGTCTGTCTCTGACCTGTCTATCTCTCTCCTGTCTATCTCTCACCTGTCTATCTCTCACCTGTCTGTCTCTCACCTGTCTATCTCTGACCTGTCTATCTCTCACCTGTCTATCTCTGACCTGTCTATCTCTCACCTGTCTATCTCTCACCTGTCTGTCTCTGACCTGTCTATCTCTCACCTGTCTATCTCTCTCCTGTCTGTCTCTCACCTGTCTATCTCTGACCTGTCTGTCTCTGACCTGTCTATCTCTCACCTGTCTATCTCTCACCTGTCTGTCTCTCTCCTGTCTATCTCTGACCTGTCTATCTCTCACCTGTCTATCTCTCACCTGTCTGTCTCTCTCCTGTCTATCTCTCTCCTGTCTATCTCTCTCCTGTCTGTCTCTCACCTGTCTGTCTCTGACCTGTCTGTCTCTTTCCTGTCTATCTCTCACCTGTCTATCTCTCTCCTGTCTGTGTCTCTCCTGTCTGTCTCTCACCTGTCTGTCTCTGACCTGTTTATCTCTCACCTGTCTGTCTCTCACCTGTCTGTCTCTGACCTGTCTATCTCTGACCTGTCTGTCTCTGACCTGTCTGTCTCTCTCCTGTCTATCTCTCACCTGTCTATCTCTCACCTGTCTATCTCTCACCTGTCTGTCTCTCTCCTGTCTGTCTCTCACCTGTCTGTCTCTCTCCTGTCTGTCTCTCACCTGTCTGTCTCTGACCTGTCTATCTCTCAACTGTCTGTCTCTCACCTTTCTGTCTCTCTCCTGTCTATCTCTCACCTGTCTATCTCTCACCTGTCTGTCTCTCTCCTGTCTGTCCTCTCACCTGTCTGTCTCTCTCCTGTCTGTCTCTCACCTGTCTGTCTCTGACCTGTCTATCTCTCAACTGTCTGTCTCTCACCTTTCTGTCTCTCTCCTGTCTATCTCTCACCTGTCTATCTCTCACCTGTCTGTCTCTCTCCTGTCTGTCTCTCACCTGTCTGTCTCTCTCCTGTCTGTCTCTCACCTCTCTGTCTCTGACCTGTCTATCTCTCAACTGTCTGTCTCTCACCTGTCTGTCTCTCACCTGTCTGTCTCTGACCTGTCTGTCTCTGACCTGTCTGTCTCTCTCCTGTCTATCTCTCACCTTTCTGTCTCTCTCCTGTCTGTCTCTGACCTGTCTATCTCTGACCTGTCTGTCTCTCTCCTGTCTATCTCTCTCCTGTCTATCTCTGACCTGTCTATCTCTCACCTGTCTATCTCTCACCTGTCTGTCTCTCTCCTGTCTATCTCTCTCCTGTCTATCTCTCTCCTGTCTGTCTCTCACCTGTCTGTCTCTGACCTGTCTGTCTCTCTCCTGTCTATCTCTCACCTGTCTATCTCTCACCTGTCTGTCTCTCTCCTGTCTATCTCTCTCCTGTCTATCTCTCTCCTGTCTGTCTCTCACCTGTCTGTCTCTGACCTGTCTGTCTCTCTCCTGTCTATCTCTCACCTGTCTGTCTCTCACCTGTCTGTCTCTGACCTGTTTATCTCTCACCTGTCTGTCTCTCACCTGTCTGTCTCTGACCTGTCTATCTCTGACCTGTCTGTCTCTGACCTGTCTGTCTCTCTCCTGTCTATCTCTCACCTGTCTGTCTCTCTCCTGTCTGTCTCTCACCTGTCTGTCTCTCTCCTGTCTGTCTCTCACCTGTCTGTCTCTGACCTGTCTATCTCTCAACTGTATGTCTCTGACCTGTCTGTCTCTCTCCTGTCTATCTCTCACCTGTCTGTCTCTCACCTGTCTATCTCTCACCTGTCTGTCTCTCTCCTGTCTGTCTCTCACCTGTCTGTCTCTGACCTGTCTGTCTCTGACCTGTCTATCTCTCACCTGTATGTCTCTCACCTGTCTGTCTCTCACCTGTCTATCTCTCACCTGTCTGTCTCTGACCTGTCTGTCTCTCTCCTGTCTATCTCTCACCTGTCTGTCTCTCACCTGTCTGTCTCTGACCTGTCTGTCTCTGACCTGTCTATCTCTCTCCTGTCTGTCTCTGACCTGTCTGTCTCTCACCTGTCTTTCTCTCACCTGTCTGTCTCTCACCTGTCTGTCTCTCTCCTGTCTGTCTCTGACCTGTCTATCTCTCACCTGTCTGTCTCTCACCTGTCTGTCTCTGACCTGTCTGTCTCTGACCTGTCTATCTCTCTCCTGTCTGTCTCTGACCTGTCTGTCTCTGACCTGTCTGTCTCTCTCCTGTCTGTCTCTGACCTGTCTGTCTCTCACCTGTCTGTCTCTCTCCTGTCTGTCTCTGACCTGTCTGTCTCTGACCTGTCTATCTCTCTCCTGTCTGTCTCTGACCTGTCTGTCTCTGACCTGTCCGTCTCTCCCCTGTCTGTCTCTCAGTGGGACCTGGTCTGTGGTCTCCGGCCTCTCAAACAGATGATCCAGACCATCTATATGGGGGGCGTTCTGACAGGAGCCATTGTGTACGGAGGGCTGTCAGACAGGTACAAACACACACACACAATACACACACACACACATTGCATATATATATAACACACACACACACACTGTATATATAACACACACACACTGTGTATATATATATATATATATCACACACACTGTATATATATATATATATATATATATATATATATAACACACACACACTGTATATATCAGTGTTTTCCCTATATACAAATAGCGCCGCTGCTAGGGGGCGTCAGCCAGGCATCCTAAATATATTTTCTTTACTTTTAATTTTTTATTAAAATAATAATAAGTGGCGACCCTTTTTCATTTTTTATTGTTTGTTATGTGGATTTGTAGTATTTGTGTTACTGTATGTTCAATAAAGGTGTATTTTTGCTAAATCTTGAGAGATTGCCACTGTATGTACTAGGCAGGGCCGATTTTTGGCATAGGCGGTCGCCTAGGCCCTAGGGCACCCGATCTGGGGGGTGCTGCGCTGGTAGCTCTGAGAGGGGGAAAACATTTTTGACCTTTATCGCTCATCCTAATTTTCGGCCTTGATGTAACAACATTCATAATTAAGTAAATGTAACACCCTTTTCACCTCGGTTACACTTTTCATTTGCCCTGTACGATGGGCGCTGTAAGTGATGAAAGTGGGGGATGTTGGCTTATCTGGCACCCGCAGCTCACAGCCAAAGTGCGAGCGAGAGAGCGAGCGAGGGAGAGAGAGAGGGCGCACCGGTACCGACGCTGTTGTTATTAGAATCTGGTGCTAGCTGCGCTAACGGATATAAGAAGTAGATGTTTCTACAACCAGGGTGGAGGAGAGCTCTCCTGTCAGACTGAGAGGCTCAGTGAGGTATAGGACTCTCTGAGTGTTTAGATAGTTAATTGTAGTCTAAGTCATCTCAGAGGGTCTCAAACGTTTTGACCACAATTTATGTAAACACATATTTCCAAGGCACTCCTTTATAATTATTAGGATAAATAAAAACAGGTTTGAAATCATTCCAATGTATACTATAGGACAGTAAACCAAACATATCGTTTAAAGTTGGAGAGATACAAAAATATGCATAAATAAATGTTAAGGTAAAATAAGATATGAATGAAAAACAAAAATAAAACAAGTTACATGTATTTGTTATTGGCTATGGTAGGTTATTGGTTATGTTCACATACTTATTTGATTATTAAAATGTAAACCGATCTTTTTCATATGGGTGTTTTAGAGTTGTACCCCCTAGGTCAGGTCTCTAGTAATTGTGTGCTCAAAGTGCACCAGATTGAAGCATTTTACTTTAAAATCTTCCCGGGGGGGGCACACCCCCGGATCCCCCTAGAGGATGTGATGTCCACCCCCCAATTCAAACATCTGAATACAATACTGAATACATTTGAAGCCATTTTTACGTATATTACCTATGTCAATAGGTTTCTGTTTTTGTAGTGTATTTGTCTTTTGTGGAGATCTTTAATTTATTCTTTATATATAAAATATCGCCTCAGGCAGCAAATTGGCTAGAACCAAACCCTGCCCCTTGTACTACTAGGCCTCAAGAGCCTTCTTGTGCTGGCAGAAACAAATCGGCGGGGTGGGCACTTCGCACGTGCACAAAAAAAAATGCCATGCACTCCGCGCTCAACATTATGCTGGGCCCACGTGCCTTAGCAACCGCTGCTATGATTCCATCCTAGGGAAACACTGGTATATATAACACACACACACGAGCTGTGAGCAGCAGCCAATCAAAAGTGTGTCCTCAGGTAATGGGAGGCCGGTCTGTGGCTGATCTGGTCCTACCTGCAGCTGGGGGTCCTGGGGTGGCAGCTCGGGCTTTTCCTTCCTTCGTACTCCACACTACTGCGCCTTCAGGTTCCTGAGCGGCATGGCTGTCTCTGGAGTCATTCTGAACGGATTCTCTCGGAGTACTGTCTATCTATCTGTCTGTCTGTCTGTCTGGTCGTCTGTCTGTATGTTCCTGTCTGTCTGTCCTGTCTGTATGTCCTGTCTGTCTGTCTTTCTGTCCTCTGTCTGTCTGTCTGTCTGTCGGTCCTGTCTGGATGTCTGTCTGTCTGTCCTAGTCCTGTCTTGTACTGTCTGTCTGTATGTCTGTCTGTCTCATTCTCTGCCTGTCTGTATGTCTGTCTGGTCTGTCTGTCTGATCTGTCGGTCTGTCTGTCTGTCGTTCTGTCGTACCTGTCTGGTCTGTCTGTCCTGTACTGTCTAGTCTCTGTCCTGTCTGTCTGTCTATCGGTCTGTCTGTCTGTCTGTCTGTCTGTCTGTCTGTCTGTCTGTCTGTATGTCTGTCTGTCTGTCTGTCTGTCTGTCTGTCTGTCTGTCTGTCTGTCTGTCTGTCTGTATGTCTGTCTGTCTGTCTATCTGTCTGTCTGTCTGTCTGTCTGTCTATCTGTCTACCTGTCTGTCTGTCTGTCTGTCTGTCTATCTGTCTGTCTGTTGTCTGTCTGTCTGTCTGTCTGTCTGTCTGTCTGTCTGTCTGTCGTCTGTTCTGTC